CAGGGCTTAAGGCACCAGCTCATTTAGGCCCATGCAAACACATGAACCATGGCAGCAATCGATAGACACTAACAGACTATTGAAGAACCATGATAACATGGGCGCTTGTTCATTTTAGGTCTTCCTGGCCATCACAGTGGTGGCGAGGAATTGACGTTTTGTTGTATGAAATCAATAGGAAAGAGCAGCATCTGTTTGCACAGAACATGACTTGAGATCGAACTGGTGCAGATGCTTATCTTAAATGTCACTAGGACTTCAAACAAGCTTTCTGGATGAAACAAAGGCTTACAGGGGTTTTAATCCTCACCCATACTCCCATTTAGAAGAGCAAAACCATCTGCAAAACTGGTGACATATCATTACTGTGATACAAACACATCAGATGTTTCAGAATAACAATACTAGTCAAGAATAAGAACCTAAAATCTGAATAATAGCAATAATTGGGGGCAAACCAAGTATAGTTCAGTTTACTGTTACTCTGCTTTGATACACCCAAAAGCTCAAGACACATTTATGCTATCTAACCTCTGCAGGCCCCCTAGTGGCTATTCTGCTGGTAGAAAGGAAACTGACTCATGTTTCTTTAATTATATAATTAAATCAAAAATTTTCTCTTACAATTATGTTAAAAGTTTGTGTAGGACACTGTTGGCTCTGTATGTGAAATGTACTGCGTTGAGCTTCTAGTCAACAATTAGAGTGGGTTGGGGGGGGTGGCGAGAACCCCCTGCTGTTAAAACAATTCACCCTTTCCACAAAGACAGCCATGCAGAGATAATACATCTGCAGCTTTCTTTATATCAATAATCAAGTGCAGCTTCCACAATAAAAGTGTTTAAACACAATAAAAACACTTTTCTAAACACTGCCTTGTACGCTCACTTATGAAGATGAAAATCAAGGTCCTTTCAAGTTTTATAGATCATAAACATTTCCATCAAAATAAATCCCATCAACGGTAAGAAAAAAAATGCATAGTTTAAGTGAGGGAGCTCCAAAACAGGCAGAAACTTTATTTTGTGAAAAGGGCTAAAGAAAGTTCTGGAGGTGAAGTCAAAATGTGGGTTAGCCTCATAAACTGTGTCAAATGATGTTCATTCCCATATTCCCTTCCATCGACTCCCAGGCCCCCAAAATACAACCACAAATCACATAGGAAGTTGCCCAACCTAAGGGGACAATCCTAAAAATATCAACCCAGTTGCTCATAAACAACCTAGTTCGAGTGAAAACTAGTGAAAACTCTCAGCCGCATGGATTGACAGAATTGTGAGTTGCAACTTTTCTAAATGAAGCCTGGAGACACAGAGTTTAGCTCTGATTTACAGTGTCTCATGATTACTGTCTGAGCCAACGGATGTAAAAACAATCAACATTAATCAGATTTGTAATAGCTGCTGCGTGTTTGGTTTATAGGATTCAATTTGCATTGCAAAACTCCTTTGGGTCATCCTTTTTGTCTGTTTCTCTTTTTTCTCTCTTGTAAACTCCACAATGCTTTACTGGACTGAGCTTATGTAATAATGTGTAGTGAACTTCTATTTTTATAGTTTTAACTGATGCAGGTCCTCTGACACAGATTTCATCGGTAATCAATACCTTACCACACTGTAAACATAAAAATTTTAAGTCAACTTTCTGGATAGCTTTTTTGTATCAGTTTAGTTTAATTAAGCGAAAAAAACACATTTTACTACTGCATCTTAGTTTAGGTCAACAATACATTTTAGGTTGAGCTTACTCAAAAAAAATCAATATGAAAGCTTAAACTGCTTAAATGTTTTAGTAGGATTTTTTTTCTTTCCCCGATTCAGCCATTGCCAGTTCCTACCTACAGTCTAGGACTTCCCTTATTACACAGTGCCCCAGCTTGGGGGGTGGGAGCTTCCTCCTCTCAGATTTCTGACCATGGAAGACTGGGGTGTCACCAGGATTCAAACTCATAATCTCTTATGGGTAGTTAAACAGATGTGCCACTCAGGAAGCACAGTGCTGCTTACATTCCTCTGTCCAAGAAAGAATAAAAAAAAGTTAATTAACTTAAAGTAAAACTAAAAACCCAACAGAAAAAATGTAATTTCAGCTCATAAAGCAGAAACCACACTAAGATCAACTTAAACTGTATTTTGTGAATCTAACTTAATGTAATACCAAACATGCAAGTTAGGGGGACTAAATTAAGTTGAAGAAAAAAGCTACGAAGCTATGAAGAAAGTTGAGATAACATTTTAACCACCTATCTTTTATTTTTTTACACTGAATAATTTACAACGAAACACATCTGTTGTCAACACTCAGGTATGTCACTGTCTAATTCATTAATCCTTAATGTTAGGTAACAAAACAGAAATGCTTATTGTGCATCGATGCCAACAAATGTGCTCATTAACAATGAGAGGTTCGACATGGATGTTTATTTACCCAACAATTACTAAAATAAACCAGAGAAGTGAGCCTCCAATATCACTCTAATGCAATGGGTTGCTAAAAAGACATGAGCTGTTAATTGGGTCTAAATGGCTTGCAGATGCCTGGGTGTGAATGAGGAGCTGTCTTAGCAGAGCTGGATTTAGGGAATCTCTTTCATGAAAAACAGCAAATCACAGGCACGTACTGGCAGCTGAGGACTGACCATTTCACTCCTGAAATAAATCTTTACCACTTAAGATGTTTCAAAGCCTTATCTGGGGAGACATGGTGAAAGAGAGAGAGAGAGAGAGAGAGAGAGAGAGAGAGAGAGAGAGAGACAGAGAGACTATTCGCTGGCAAACGGTGCAATAGACACAGAACCATCTGAACACCACAGCAACTGACTGGACCAGTGGGACATCATTAGCTATATTTATCTCTAATGTGGAGCATGGATAAAGCAGGATAATCCACTCATGTCATTACAGGGAACCAGATAGGGGAGTTACCATTTTAATTGTAGTATCAGCCTGAACAAAGCTAGTACAAAAACCACGGAACAGGCTGCAACTGTTACTGAGCATAAATGTCAGGGTGTGCATTGCTTACACAGGATTAAATACTACCCATATGACCACTGTGCATACCTATAAAGACATCCCTCATTCATATGTGCTCTACTCTTCCTTTTCTTCTTAAAACTATTATATTTTCCTTAAGATTTGTGTTCCGGTCTTATAAAAGCCTCCGCACGTTGTACTTTAAATTGCATTCCAGCTCATTTTAACTCGTGACTGAGGTCAATGTTGGCGAATTAAACATGACTGAATACCAACACATCACAGACACGCACACACATGCACAACTCGTAAAGCCTGCCTTATAACTCATTCACACTTGCCTAATACGCGTTGATGTGGGCGGCGCGCAACCGCGTTTGGAGAGCTTCGACTATATAAAAAAAATCGCGATGGCGTTTTCATGAGCGAGGAGGGAGGCGCGAGCGCGTGGCGTGCGAGAAAGGAGCTGAACGAGAGCTGTTCTTTCAGCACCACAGCGAGAAAAAGGAGCTGTTCTTTCAGCACCACAGCGAGAAAAGGGAGCTGTTCTTTCAGCACCACAGCGAGAAAAGAAGCTGTTCTTTCAGCCCCACCGTGAGAAAAGGAGCTGTTCTTTCAGCACCACTGTTTGAAAAGAGCTGTTCTTTCAGCACCACTGTGAGAAAAGAGCTGTTCTTTCAGCATCACAGAGCGCAGCGATCAAACAGTTCGCCAAAAACTATAAATGTCATTATCACTTCTGCAATATCTGCTAATGTGTCTTATCGCAGCAGCACTAAAATGTTCTACATCTATGACTGATGCACTGCCTCTGGTATGTGTTGGAGTAAGCTAATCAGCTAATGAAGGACACTTTACCTAATGCTTATTCCTTTCATTTTTTTGAATGGGCAAAGTGAAATACTTTAAATAGGCTAGCAACACAAGTTTAGTGGAAAAGTGAGTAAAATAGGGTCTTTGTCATTCAAGAATGGCTATTACATCATTGTGTCACAATGTCCAGTGCATTGCCCCATGATACATAACACACTGTCTATATTACCTAACACTGTCAACAATGATACCCAACCCAGTTACACATACCCAATCACACTGTCCTACAACATCCAACACACTGTCCTATGACATGCAACACACTACACTGTAGTAATAATGTACCCAAACACACTGTCCGATAACACCCACTAATACAGTATTTCCCAACACACAGTGTCCCATTTTTAACACCACTGTCACATAATGAGCAATACACTCTTACATATACCAACACACTCTCCCATAATGCCCAACTGTGTCTCATGATACCCACTCAAACAGTATTTCCCAACACACAATGTCTATATTACGTAATACTGTGCAATCCTACCCATTATACTGTACTACATATGATCACACATTGTAATACCCATTACATTATGTCATAATAACAACAGTGTTTTTTACGCAAACATACTGTCCCATAATAATCAAGTGTCCATATTACCAACACTCCTGTGCATATTATATATAACCACACACTGTCACATAATACTCAACACACTATATCATAACAAGAAATACACTGCCCCATAACTTTTAAATGTACAGTGCCATAATACCCTCCAAACTGTTCCGTAATACCCAACACATTATTCCATAATACCCAACACACTGTCCTGTAAAACCAACACACCATCCTACAATACCCAACATTTTCCGATAATACTCACACACTGTGCCAAAATACTGTCCCATAATACCCAACACACTGTCCCATAATACCCAACACTCTGTCCCATAATACCCAACACACAACAGTTTAGTAATAATACAGCTAAGCACACAGTCTCATCATACCCACTAATACAGTGTTTCCTATTTCCTAACACACTGTTATGTACTACCTGATGATTAACTATGTGACCCACACTAACCCCATAACACCTGCTATATGCGTTGATGCCCGAAAACACCCGAATTCTCCCCGCCCCAATGTGCATGCCTCTTTGCCTTAGGGGGCCCCTACGGGCTCTCACGCGCTCTCACCTGGAACAGGCGCAGGATGTTGGCCACCATGATGGACACGGAGCTGGCCGAGGCCCCGATGACCCCGACCACCTTCTCGGGCTTGACGAAGACGGGCGGCTCGCCGTTGGTGCAGCGCACGTCCGACGTGTCCTTCTGGATGAGGGCCTGCACGAAGGTGAGCGACTGCTCGAGCGCGTGCGTGTCGCGCGAGCACGTGTCGAGCACGCGCGCGCCCAGCGTGATGTTGGGAAGCAGCTCGTCGTCGCCGTTGATCTGGTCGAGCGCGTAGAGCATGGCCTCCAGCCGGTGGATGCCGTTCTCCTTCTTCACGTCGCCGCACGGCTCGCCCGCCACGCCGCGCGCGTGCACGGGGAAGAGGCCGCCCAGCGTCAGGTCGCCCTCGATCCGGATGGAGTGCGGCGCGTACGTCTCCTGCGCCGCGGCCACGGCCAGCAGCAGCGTCTTCAGCATCCAGAGCAGCCTCCACGGGAAGCAGAAGCAACCCGGCGACCGTTGGGCGAGCGCGCGCCTAGCCATGGTCTCCCGCGCCACCCTTCGAATTGAGAAGGGGAGAAAAAAAATAACAAAGCTGGGCGAAGGATTTTGTTCACACTTTCAGGTGAACAAAGTTGGAAGAGGTCAGAGTAAAGCCAAGTGCCATTTTCGTGAGGAAAAGTGGGTAATTTTATTGAAGAATATGTATAAATCAATAGAAAAGGTTTAAAAGAGCTGCTACTCGTTCGGAATGTGCGCGCGAGCGACTAAAAGCAGCATAGCTGCGTAGCTTGTTGCTCGCATAACCGTTTCTCTCAAAGGCGCTTTTTTCCACACTGAAACTGAGGGAAAAGGGATTAAACAGAGATGAAAACAACACCACAGTACCTTCGCACGACGTTTTATCCACGGACCACGAACATGGTGTCGAAAAAAAAAACGGCTCCCCAAAAAAGTGCCTCGGTATTCCACTGAAGAGAACCGCGAAGCTCCAAAGCTGCCGTTACGCTGCCACAGTTGCACTACTGCGCAGGAAACTGCGCAATCCCACAAAACTGGAACATACAACTTTGTGGTTCAGGCAGAACTTACCATAAACACACTGTTACACGATCTATGCGAGGAATGAGCGCAGCCAACAGGGCTCTGAGACATTCTCCCTCTTTATCTCACTCTTTACTTCACCAGGTGAACCAAGCGCCGCATCCGGGTGAGGAGAAGAGCGGTGTCCGTGTTACGATGCGCTTCCAAATCGGCCAAAACCGAAAAATAAGAATTCCAGAAGAGCGAACAGAGCCGAAGATAACACGAGCGTCTTCTCCGGAGCTCGAGTTGTAGGAATGACGCTTCCTCTCTCTCAGCCCGCTGCTGTTTTTTTCCCTACCCGTATCCGGATAAACCCCGCCCTCCCGCGCTAGGATTAGCTAGCAGCGTCCCGCCGCTTGCGCGAAGATTGGCCAGTAGTTCGTACTCACGAGCGGTCCGCCGAACTCGCAGCCAATCGTAACGCGGGAAGGCGGGGCCTGTGGTAAAACAGGTGGGTTAAAAAATAACGCCTCCACCCAAAATCAAATATGCATTTTTCAAATGACTCAACTCGCGCGCACTGGAATCCGTTACGGTTTAACGGCTACAAGGAGATCCAACGGCACGAATGTGTTAGCATTCTGAGCTAAACCACACGATGAGGTAGGCTGTGAAACTGAAACACAACTCGCCCGTTAAGTTAGCCTTCAGTTCAGCTCTCTCTCTCTCTCTCTCTCTCTCTCTCTCTCTCTCTCTCTCTCTCTGTTTTTCTTTTTCTCTCTGAAGCCTATCAGTCTCTGTCTGCCTCTATCTGTCTATCTATCTGTCTATCTATTTATCTATCTCCCTCTTTTTCTTAATTTCCCTCTATCTCTCTCCCTCTCACTGTCTTTCTCGCTCTCTCTCCTTTCTCTTCTTTCTCTTTCTATCCGTCTCTCTCTCGCTCTCTCTCTTTCTCCTCTCTCTCTCTTTCCCTTCGTCTCTATTCTCTCTCACACACACTATCTCTCTTGCTCTCTATTTCCCTCTGTTTCTCTATCTCGCTCTTTCTCTTCTTTCTTTCTCTCTCTCTCTCTCTCTCTCTCTCTCTCTCTAGCTCCCTCCCTCTCTCTAGGTCTCTCTTTCCCTTCTCTTTCTTTCTGTCTCTCTCTCTATTCTTTCTCTCTCTCACTCTGTCTCTTCGTCTCTATTCTTTCTCTCACACACTATCTCTCTTGCTCTCTATCTCGCTTTCTCTTCTTTCTTTCTCTTTCTCTCTCTAGCTCTCTCTCTCTCTCACTCTGTCTCTCTGTCTTTATTCTCTCTCACACACACTATCTCTCTTGCTCTCTATCTCCCTCTATTTTTCTATCTCGCTCTTTCTCTTCTTTCTTTCTTTCTTTCTTTCTTTCTCTCTCTAGCTCCCTTTCTCTCTCTCTCTCTCTCTCTCTCTCTCTCTCTCTCTCACCCTCTCTGTCTTTTTTCTCTCTTTCTCTCTCTCTAGTCAGAGTAACCGCACTCTGATTTGAGTCAGTGTAACATTTTCTAATCCCAAACTGAGAATCTCTGAGGAATCAAAGCAGAATAGGCAGATAACTCCTTTTTATGCTTTGTGCTTTGGCTCTATGAGGCTGTTAGCTGTCTTGCTAAACCACAGCAGCGTAAGGCAGCGGACACAGTGTGAAGCCTTTCTTTCCTCATTCAGCTTCTCACAGACCTCAGTAGCTTCCCAGACAGATATCTGATTTACTGCCATATGTGCACGTATGCAGGGCCAGGCATGGATTTTAAAACATATGTACATATACACTGTGTACATACATGGAAGCATCAGATGTTGGACATGGATAATATATGGATCATACATATGTGTCTAATAGGTGGGGGAATACATAATATATACATAATATATGGATCATATGTGTGTCTGATATGTGGTTGAATACATCCACTGTGGCTCAAATATGTACCCCATATTTGAAGTTGGCTAATTAGAAATAAGTTGGCACATATGTCCTATATGTCCATACACTGTTAGAAATAAAGATTCTGTGCAGGTACATTTTTCGTTCATTAAGGTACAAACAATATAAATGTTCCCTCAAAGGTTCAACAGCGGTTTTAAGGTCCAGTTGTGAACCCTAAATAAGTTTTCCCAGGTGAAAAGCACATATTTGTACCTTTTTATAAGCTGATGTTTTAAACAGAACAATAAAATAAAAAACCTGGAGACGAGACGGGGTGTGTGGAGTCAATACAACTGACTAAAGGTACTGAGATGTACCCTTGAGGTTACCACCCCAGTGACAAAAGGGGTACTGCCCCAGTGACAGTGTAGTGTAGACAGTGTAGTGTAGACTTATAAAAGTTGGATATTCATATATGATAACACTTTTCATATATTCGAAACTCATATATTGCCATACATCAGATTTCCATATGAGTTAGCTGCCACTGGCACCCTCTCGTGTCAGTTAGACACACTAAACCTGAGCCTCACAATTGAAATCAATTAAAAAGAGGCAGTATTTGCTGATTTAGCAGGTTCCTGAAGTGTTTTTTTTTCATCAGCAAAACCACCGACTGTGTCTGAGAAAGGAAATAAATTGTCCACATAACTTAATCTTTTTTCCCTATGATAATAGGAGTCAGGTTGCAGGAAGAGGGGCTGGATTGGGGTTTGAGGTTATGCAGCAATAATCATAAAGAATGATAAGAGTTATACCTTTTATTATGGTTCATATCGCTGCTGTGGTAAGAAAACCTTGCATCTCCATTTTTGTTGTTTTTCAGTTTTTGACACAATTTGAAAATGCCTGTTACCCTTTACATTGTGTGTAAGTTTCATGATGAATGGACCAGAAGAAAAGGCCCAAAATTACTAAATTAAAGGCCTCTGGTAACTAAAAACTCTGGTTCCATTGACTCACATTAAAAGACAGCTATGGTTTTTTCTTCTCCTGTAAAGTTACCATTTTGGCGATACGAGGTTTTCTTCTGACAAAGGCAATATTCCGCATAACATTTGTAGAGATGGCATAGTGCCACTTTATTTCTTTTCCCAATACCGATACTGACACTGCAGAGACCAATACTGATTTAATACTAAGCTTTAAAATGAGCTTTTTTTTTAATGAAGCACTTCACATAAGATCTAGAAGTATGCTGTCATCCTCAGCCTACTCAAACACTCTACTACTGCACAGACAGAAATACACAGCTAACAACATGACACGAACCCAACATGAGTATGTGCTGCTTCAGGCTACATTTATTACAGGATTCAGATTCACTCTTTCTTTAAAGATATCATACCATACCATACACTCTACAAGGGCTGTTTAGCAAAAGGCAATGTTCTATATAAATGGTTTAAATGGTTTTTTACATGGTGATATGGTTCTTCAGATTGATGGAGAACAGGTTATATATGGTTCTAAATTAAACTTTTTAGAAAATAGATCTATATAGCACCAAAAATCGCAACAGTAAACAAATCCTTTTTGGTGCTATATACACTCTTAAAAAAGATGGTTCTTCAAGGGTTCTTTAGTAATGATAATGGTTCCATGAACACACAAAGAACCATTTGCATGCTTAAATGGTGAAATGGTTCTTCAGATTGATGGATACTGTGTTGTATGTGGTTCTATGTAGAACCAAAAAGGGTTCTTCTATTACAACAGACTTGACATTGTAACAATACAAGATTATTTTTTTGGGTGCTATATAGAACCCTTTTCCAGGTTGAGTGTTCATGGTTCTATGTAGAACCATTTTCTTTACCAAAGAGCTCTTGATGCACCATCTTTTTTAAGAGGGTAGAACCATTTTCAAAAATGTTCTATATAGAACCATAAATAACAAATTCGTCATCAGTGTGGGGGACCATTTCACCATGCAATGAGCCATTTATAAACTGGTTCTATGTAGACCTGGTTCCAGATAGAACCATTGCTTTTACTAAAGAACTTTTGAAGGGCCTCTTTTTTAAGAATGTACCATATTAAAGATGTACCATCTCTGAAAAATTATTTTGAATTTTTCAGTGGCAAATATTTGTTGACATCCTGTGACAGCTGGTCAGCAGGTCAGCAAAATGTAGTTACAAAAAGCATACTGGAAGAAAATGCACACTGGATCATTCTATAAAGTTCTGCTCTAAGCCTGGCATGAACAGCAATATTCATGCTTTGAATACTTATTGGTGTTTGTTAATGAGTACTCGAATACTCATTATCAAAATCACCCAGAGAAACAACAGTCATGTTCCATAATTAAGCATTAATTAAGCATAATTTTAGGTTTGTTATGTGTAGTTCAAAACATATCCAGTAGGCGGCAACAATGTATTAATAGTCAGATGTCACTCTAAGGAGAGCTGTCATGGATGCCTAAATAAAACCAGATATAATTGATTAAAATTTTTTATAAAGTAACAATCACTGTGCTTTTTAAAGGCCCTTGCTGATGTGTTGTTGTTTAGGCTACAGTTTTTTGTGGCTTACAAAAAACAGCGAAGCTTCTGAGTACTAAAT